ACTTGGCTTCAACTCTGCTCTCGTTTAGAAAAAAGTCTCTTATTTGTGGCTCCATGAATATCACTGGGCTGCCTACAGCAGTACCAACATTAATATATGTCAGAATTTTTAAGGATTCAGAGATTGAAGCAATATCTGGAGAAATCACTAAGTGAATGGATAAATAATTACAAATAGTTGAGATACCACAGCTCAGCAAGTTACATCTCATCAGCTGAACATGGTAATTGATTATTTGCTTGGCTTTAGTCCCCTGTGAGTGCTGCAGAAGTCTCTGACTTAAACCACCTTCAAGTCAAGCTGAAGCACTCAAAAGTTTCAGCTTCTCAAATGTGTGGTGTAGTCATATGAATTTACCATTGAGTTTGTGTAAATTAGTCTGCATTTTCCTGAATCAAGAATAATTTCTGGCAATTTTTTTTCTTCCTATTACTTCCACAAGTTAATTTCAGTGGAAGCATAAATTACATAAATAGAAAAATGTGAATAAAACTATTTAAGAATAAATCACATATTTACAAAAAAATATGGACAACTAAGAAACTAAGATGGAAATAGATTACATTTTCTGCCTTTGAATAGTTAAATGATTGGGGAAGCTGAGCAGAGCCTTTGCAGTGTCATTTCTTCTAAGCAATTTATGGTGAGAAAAAAAGAATAAAAGGAAAATATTAAAAAATAGGATATGCTGCAGCTTTTGTGTTGCTGTTGCTCTTTTGCTGCAGCTTATACCACTCCCTTTTTTTACATTTTTGCTCTAAGCAATAGATTTTTCTTTTGGACTTTTCCACTTAGGCTGAATTCCAAATTGTCATGTTAAATCTTTGAATTTAATTTTGAAGCAGAAGACAGTGGATTTTGGTAGGCAGAAGAGCACAATACATCTTGATAGTCATAGTTACCTTTAATAATAGAAAGGGCTCAAGTAAAAAATGGAAGTAGTCTCATTTAAAACCACAATAAAAGGTAGCTACACCTGATTTTAATCAGTGTAAAAATGAAGTAAATTGATATGAAAGATCCTTGATTGCTTTTGTAGTTTGGAGTGCAATTTTGTGGCAGAAATAAAATTTTCACATCCTAAGGCCACCACAAAGAATAATAAAAATTTGCATTCGAAATAACGTCGTTCCCCGCCCCAATCTGCTATCCAGCCAGAAGCTGAGGCTGAAATACAAAAAATACAAAAAAAAAAAAAAAAAAAAAAAAAAAAAAAAAAAAAAAAAAAAAAAAAAAAAAAAAAAAGAAAAACAGACAAATTTTATAGGAACTGGTCCTGTATGTATTTTAAATAAATGAAACTAATGGAACTCCTTGCATGATTAAAGACAGATACTGGCAAGGGGCAGAAATGCATCTTGGGCTGTTGGTGCCACTGATGGAAATTCATATGGAGGAGTTGGTTCCTGCTTTTCCACATCCTCAGTTCTAAGATTGCTTCAGTGGATTTGGTGATTACAGAAAAATACAGCATCACTGGAGCTGAATGTTTATCTTCCTGCTCATTACCTCTCCATGCTCTTGCAGGACAGGTTTAAGGTGTTCAGCAATTGTTTTGATGGTAAAAGAGCAGCTTAGCAGACCTGAAATTTTGGACTATAATGTTAATCTACACATCAGTTTCGCTGTTATTAATTTCTCCACGTATTTTTGAGAATGATTCACAGTTCATTGATTTTGGTATTTAAAATGTGTTTCTTGATATAAATACTCTTCAGACAGTTCACATTGATCTCAATACAATCTTAAATTCTGTTTAGGCACTCATCGAGTTCAGTGTTCTGAAGGAACTTAGTAAATAGTGGGGAAAAAAAAAAAAAAAAAAGACAAATAAATTAACTACCTGGTTGCTTACATAGCCTCTCAGGAAACTTCCCCTTCAATGCTTTGGTGGAGACAGAGCATTTGAAGTGCAAAGGCAAAGGCTTCAAATCAAAGTTCTGGTAAATTGGCAGCTGCACTAATACACAGCCTTTTTATTTTCCTTTCCAAGCTGTCTGCTCCATCCAGCCCAGGAGTGGCACATCAAGGAAATTCCCACCCTCAAAAGTGTCTGTGTTCTTCACAAAACATGTTCTATTAAATACACACACTCCAAACAAGCTATAATGCACCAGTAAAACACCTTTTATTTCACTAATACCTTTTTCAACAATCACCAGGGGCAGCTGTAATAAACCAGACACGTCTAGAGGATGAGTCAAGCAGGAACAGCTCCTGGAAGGGCCCTCCCTTTTTAATCCATTGTCCAAAGGCATCAGTTTGGCACCTCATCCAGATTGCTAAGTGGGATGAAATTGTATATTAATTTTTTTTATTAATAGTTTTGGGTAGGAAAAACAGCAGAAGTTGCTGAATTTACAATAAACTTAAGCAGGGGGAATTACCTTGTGGTTTCTATCAAGTAAGAGCATGCATGTGGACCTTGCTGTGGCAAGAATATTAAGTGATGGTGACTTGACTGTGTATTTGATAACAAAGTCAATCAAAGTAATTAAGAAGTGAGGTATTTGGTGATTGAGTGCCCCTAAAGCTTGTGTTATTTAACAAGTCCATGCTTATCCACTGAAACTCAGGCTTCAGCAAGTACAGGCTATTTCTTGCCATCTTTTAAAAACTAAGTTTTGGGTAAAGTCATAGGTTTGTAGTGCTGAATTCACTTTTATCCAGATTGCTTCTGCCATTGTGGAATTTGCTTATCTCTATGTTTATTTGACATAATCAGATCTTGCTGTGGTGCAGGCTGGCACACTCCCTGCTGCATTGTGGAATAGTATTGCTGCCTGACTGCTGATGATACAGGGCCGTATTTATGTAAGGTTTGAAATATTAAATTTAGGGTTATACATGATGTGTAGCATTATTTCTTTTAAAGAGAAAACTGTAATGCTCTCTGATATATATTTAATGGAGCAATAATTACATTTGTACTCTTGTGTTGATAGCAACACCCAAAACAATGTGCTGGACTCTATTTTATAAAAAAGGGAAAAAATATTTCCCTGGTTGTGTCTGTATCCTTCTCAGAAAAACAGGGCACTTTGCAACATCCAAATATTATCTCATCAGATTCTACTTAAAGACTAATTAACAGACACAGAGAATGGTTAAGTTTTAATTTTGCTGATTATATCTGCATTGTTCTCTTCCAGAGAAACTCAAAGACCTGCTTTATAGTTTGATGGCCTTTTTATGACACCCAGTCCCTTCAGTCACATATTTCTATCTGCAAAAAAAGCAAATGTTACATCTGAAGCCTTGGGACAAATTCCCATTGTGTTAATCACAAAATTTAAGGGCAGTCTTAAAAGCTACTTAGTTCCAATACAGGAAGGTGGCTCTTGCTAAACTTAATATCATTTACTAGTTTTTAAAGTCTCTAATTTCCACTCCTGTTAATGAATTCTAAATATTATCCTGCTTAGCTGTTGTTTCTGGTGAAGATGAAAGGGTTTTGTTTGATGTGTGCAAAGAAGTGACTACAGAAAATGGTAAATTAATTGGAAGATGTCATCTCAGGCGAATGTTTTTGACATGAGGGCTGTAAGGCTGTTAACAAACAGACCAACTCATTTGTCTCATCATGAAATGAAAACAAAAATCACAACATCATGATAAAATCTTGACTAGGAAATGCCTGCAAGACTCTTTGAAGCCTTGGGTTCTTTTCTTGCCTGGGCTTTGGCACTCTGATTTATGCAAGCCACGCTGCGCAGAACTGGAAGTGAAATAGGTTCTATGCAGAACAGATGGATCAGGGCTAAGGCAGGGATGTGCACTGCAGATGAGAACAGATTAATACCACAAGGGGAGACTGGAGGAAAATTGGGAAGATGGGTCATTTGAACTAATTCATGAATCATTTCCAACTGATAGCTATGCCTTCAGGCACAGTGAATAATATCAAGGAAGCATATTTAAAACTTTATAAGTTTGTTTTAATGAAGATTTGAATAAAGAGCCGTGATTTTGGATGATTAAAAAGTATCCTGTATTTCCCCCATCCCAAAATGTACCTTAGTGATTTAAATATCATAGTGTGCACTGGGGTATGAATTGCTGTTTGGAAAATTCATTAAGCTGGCACAAAGCTTTTGGGAATGGGTTTTTTGGAAGAGCTGTCTGAGCTGGGAGAACATGCTCCTTCACTTGAATCCAAGCCACAGAGATGCAGCTCTGCTGTGTCTGGAGATGTGGTCTGATTTCTAGATCTCATTCAGATATCTCTCCAAGTCTTTATCTTCTCCAAATAGCCTTCAGTCTTAGAGGCTCAGACTTCCCAAAGCTGTGCCAGGGCAAGTAAATGTGGATTTAAAGATCTTCGAATGAGATCTTCAGATATATATTACAGAACAAGGTTTCAACAGTTATTTCACATCTCTAAGTTACTTTACTGTTACTAATGGATATCTTCCTCTGGGGCAGACAAACACATAGAAATAAAGAAATTCACCTGAAAATTAAAATTATTTTAATATGCACAAAATAATCAAAAACAATGAAGATATTTGAGAGATATATATAACTGCCCAGTATCAGTTTTGATTATGGGTTGAACAGTGTGATTCTGTGTGTTAGGACATCAAAAACCCTTCCTTTGGCCAAGCTCAGAGTATATGGATGAGCCTGTATTAATAATGGATATAGTTCATAAGAGGAAAAGGAAACTGAGAAGAGAAAATGTACGGATAAATGTCTGGATGTTTTGCATTCCCTATATGACTTCTCAGCAGCTAATTTTCAAGCTATAGAAGAGGATATGAAACATTTGACAGTGAAGGAAGATTCTGAGAAAAATCTAAAGAAGATGGGTAGTTCAGTTTGCTAGTAAGGAAATAATCTACATTGGTTTCTGTTCACCATCACAGAAGATGTATTATTCCTCTTGTAGAAAACTCTTTCATTTCAGGCAAAGCTTAATAAGACCAGAGAAAGGTGTGAAATGCCTCACTTGCTTAAAACTTCATTGTCATCCTGATGGTTTCATGGTTTCATTGCAGGTTGCAAATCTGGCCTGTTCAATCTCCAATAATGAGGAAGGTGTGAAGTTAGTCCGTATGGCAGCCACACAGATTGATAGCCTGTGCCCACAGGTGAGTGAAGATCCCTGCCAAAAAGTACTTGAGAAGTCTTATTAGCACTTAAAAGCATTAGAAGAACAGCATAGCCTTGTCTTTTTCATGAGATTGTTGTCTGATTTCCATGAACTGTGACAAATACATCCATATCTTGAGACTCTTCATATAAAATGGGTTGTATCCTGTATTTTTAGCACAGTCCATACTCTATTTGCTCTTTCCATTACAAAAAAAAAAAAAAATTAAAAAATAAAAAATTACCACTCCTTCTCTAACAAATGGCTTTGACTAACAGGTAATTAATGCTGCACTCACGTTGGCTGCCAGACCCCAGAGCAAAGTAGCCCAGGACAACATGGATGTGTTTAAGGACCAGTGGGAGAAACAGGTGCGAGTTCTCACCGAGGCTGTCGACGACATCACTTCAGTGGATGATTTCCTCTCTGTTTCAGGTACTGGGGTCAAGAGACTTTTCAAAAATATACTCCTAAATTAAAGTATTGGGTCAGAGCAGATAAAAGCTATAATTACTAAAGCATCATGAATTCATTAGTCTGTCTGTATTAGAATGCTGATCTTCTGTACTCAGTAGGACCAACCACGCTGTGTTAATTAATCCCTGGTAGCAATGGTGTGCTCTTCACCTCCCAGAAAATAGCACATATTTGTGCTTCTATTCCTAGAGAAGCTTTGTTCCAACTCAGGCACAAAGTAGGATTTTGTCCACCTTCTAAAAATGTGTTTCAGACCTATTACAGGCTGAAAGTATTTGTAGAAATTGTTGGAATCTGTGTGCAGTTGTGGGCAAGAGGAAAGGTGGACTTTACAGAATCATGGGATGGTTTGGGTTGGGAGGATAAAGAAGGGATGGAGAAGAGAAGGACACTGACCCTGGAGCACAGTCTTTTCTCCATCCTCCTGGTAAAGTGCTCCAGCTTGTGGCAGAGTCTGTTGTTATAATTTGATGATAGCCAGTGAATGCTGTATTTGCAATGCTGGTGCATGGTGGGTTAATTTTTGCTGCAGAAAATTCATTTTCCTATTTTGCTTAGAAGGGTGAATTTTATTGTTGTGAGTAAGGACACAGAGTGTGCCAAGAGGGCTTTGCTTACTCGAATATCTCAGAAGAGCCAAACTTCATGAGACAGTCTGGCCAAAATGTTATGTTTCATTCTACATTATTTTCCTTGGTATTGCCTAAATTTTTTTAAAAAAGTTTTTTGGGAAAAAAAAATATTGAAAGAAAAAATACTTATCCTTTAAAAAAAATCCTTTCTTTTCTTTTTTTGCCCTCTTTATCTTGTTTGATTGTATCCTGCTACCCTTATTAACAGGGAAGTGATTTGGTTTACTTAATTACACTCCTCTGTTCAACAGCCCTGCAAGTGTTTCCTGCAAACTATTGCAAAAAATGAAAATGAGCTCTCTGAATAGTAGGGTACTTCAGAATATTGATTTTTATTTCAGATTTGAAGCTGACAAACACTTTGTGGCAGAACTAGTTCTAAGAGAAAGGGATGACCAGGTTGTAAACTGCAAATCCCAGTCCATGTGCCAGAGTTGGAAATCTGCCTCAGTGGCCATTTTCTTCTTTGTTTGAGGACTTTGCTTACTCCAGGAGCTTGTGTCCATAAACCAGAAGTAATTTAAATGGATGATGGGCTTTTTCATTTCTTTTTCTCAAATCTTAATTCCTTCAAACAGAATTTTGACTTAGATCCAAACTTTCCAAGGTAGCTGAGAAGTATTATTTTTGTAAAGCTTAGATTCCTTTTTCCTAATTCTTTGCATGAATATCTCTGTTAAACATGAGGAAACAGAAAGCCTGTTGCTCTTGCTGTAAAGCTTGTAAGCCTCAGCTTACACGGAGTATTTTTATTTTTGGATGTTAAACCACTGAAGCATTCAAAGTGTCACTATCTGGTCAAATGTACCTCCTGAAATGACATCTTCTTCTCTTCATATTGACTGTCACATTTGTTGGTATGTTTTAATAATATGGTGGCTACCAGAAGAAAGGTGACCATAACTTCAAGATTTTATTTCATATTCCAAATGCATTGTCCAAATTCATATATAGCCTCTTGTTAGACAAAATTTGTTTGTGCTATGGTAAAAGCCAATTGGTGATGGTGAAATGGAACAGCAAAGACAAATTTTAACAAAGCACTTCATTTTCATTCTGAGTAGGGAGTGTTTTAAACAAAGAATTTTTCCTTGCAAGTTGCTCAGATTCACAGCTCAGGGGACTTTCAATTTCCATACAAAGTTGTTGCAGTGTAAAATTTGACATCATGTAAAACATTTCTGAAACCCTCAAATGATCTAACATCGGAATTTTTAACTGTGAAGATTAGTGAATCATTCATTTTAGTGGCAAAGGATAATTAACAAACAACAGTTGGTGAACTGATTAATTTTGTTTTAGTACTACTACAAAGAACAGCATTTCCTTTTCAGTTCAGAGGTGTCTCTAGCAGAAAATCAAGTTGCTGTTTAGAGTCACTGTGTTTGGTCAAATATGAAATTCAGTCATGGTCTTGCTAAAATTATTTTTGACTCTGACTACAGAGAATAATGCCTGACCTAGTCAAAGTCTTCTTCATGCTTTCACATAATTTGTGTGTGAGAATACTACATAAATTCTGATACTGCAGCCTATGAGAGTAAATGGCCTGATCCAGAACAAGAAAAATAACACTGCATCTCCCAAGAATCCAATTAGGTGCTTGATATCACCCCCTCTGAGCAGAATCCCTGTTGTCATCTCTTGCTTCAGATTATGCAAAGTCACACATAATTATAAGGGTGTGTTACTAGAAATTCCCAGCTTATTCTCTGGCATAGATGGAGTGAGGGAGATGAACTGCTCATGCCCAGGTTTTGTGTTATCTACAAAGGCCATTTGCTGTTGTCTTTTCAATGTGATTTATTTCTTTTTTTCTCTGTCTTACTTAGGCAAAAATGAACCAAATGTAATAAACATTTATGGGAGAGTATAAATTCACCTTCAGAAAATTGGTCAACTGTTTATTAGAGAATCTACAAATTATTTGCCTGTTTTACCTTTTGCATTCATTTTAATTACAGTTTCATTTTGATAAAATTCAGTGTGATGATGGAAATTAATGTGACTGGTTTTCAGGGAATTACAGCAGAGGTAAGATGACGTAGCCCAGTCCTACTAAAGATAAATATCACACAGATTTTTGCTGTTATGTGCCAATATCACAGCAGGGCTTTTGTTTTGCAGCCTGGATAAAGGTAGATACCATTTTTTTAATATCCTGACATTTTCCCAAATGAGCAAGCTTTGCTGTGAGGAAGAGTGAAGCTGAAGGAGCTGTATTTTTAACCTGAATTCCAGAAAACCACATCCTGGAAGATGTGAACAAGTGTGTGATTGCCCTGCAAGAGGGGGATGTGGACACGCTGGACAGGACCGCGGGCGCCATCCGGGGCCGCGCAGCCCGAGTCATCCACATCATCAACGCAGAGATGGAGAACTACGAGACCGGGGTTTACACCGAGAAGGTGCTGGAAGCTACCAAGCTGCTCTCTGAAACTGGTGAGTTTGCTGAAATGCTGAAAGAATTGTTGAAGTGTGGGTCTCAGATTCAGTCAAAGAGAGAAACGGGGAGTTTATAGCCAGGCAGAAGCCTGGGAAAGAGTTGGGAAAGAATGTAAATAATTATTTATCTCTCTTGTTGTTCATATTGTTTATAGTTAAGTTCTATCACTGTGCATCAAGCACTCTGCACCAATGCTGTGGGTTGTTTTCCCTTCAGGACCAATGGAGTTGGTCCTCACGAAGCTCTGTATGAAAGAGCAGTGTATTTTGAATAAAGCAGAGTTTTACTTTCAGCAACCTTCTGAGTGAGTCTTCTCATTCCCATCCTGCCTCGACAGCGACATTGAAGTACTCTTATTTAGTAATTTAAAACTTGCACTTGATTCTCTGAGTTCCGTAACTCCGAGGCAAATCTGTTCTTGAAAATAAGACACAAACAAATAAATTCATGGCTGTGAGTGTGTTTTTTATTTTCTACTCAGTGCTGTTGCAGAAGTCACACTGACAGGAGCCATATAAGAGAAGAAATGCAGTAACACATCAAGACTAGGCCACTACATCAAAGTTTCTATGATTTGAATAAATAATACACAGCCTTTTCTTCGGAGTTGATTGATTATGTATTATACATCTCTAGAAAATCACTGCGAACATTACTATTTGGTCTGAATGTACTTGTTGATGGCTGAAGTGTTGCTAAACAAAACAACTTTTCATTGAAAAATACATGTAAGCAATAGAAAATGCACCACCTGATTGAAAAAATATAAAAGTCTGCTAGGTTGTATAAAAATACATAGATTATATAAAAATAGAAAAGTCTGCAAGATTGATAGAGTGAGAAGAAATATTCTTTTTTTTTTCCAATCTCTTTTTCCTTGCCAGAGCAGGGATTGGATTCATCTCAGTGTAGTTGATTAAGTCTCTGCTGGTCATTTTAAGGCCCTTTATATCAGCACTCTCAGGAATTCAGTGCAGGCAGTGCTGCCAAGTGCTCTCATCTAAAAGTGGCTTTGGGTGGTTTTGGGTGAATCATGCTCCAAATTTCATTGACTTCAAAGGCTGGGTCTCCACACAGTGATCAGGTGCCCTGGGAGGATAGAGGTGCACGAATTGTGGGTGTCTGGAACTGTCTGAGCTGATCCTCCCCTGCCTCATTGCACTTCTTCATCTGAGGTTAAAATCATCAAGATTATTTTAGAAGGAACAAATGAAAGTTGCACCAGTTCGGGACACATCAAATGTGACTTTTGGACCAAAAGCCCAGGAATTGCCCTGTGAGATAGAAAAGCAAAAATTTCTAGCTGTGCAGTCTCTGTGTTCACTTTGAGAAGAGGAATCAACAAAATAAGCTAAAAAACTGATTTGGGGATGATTAAATATTACTTGTGGTATTGTAGCCCCCAGCTTAATGTCAGCTGATTTTTACTACCCAACAAAAGATCAATGGAATAAGTACTGTAAATTTAGCTTCTTTTTAAAAGTTTATGAGCTGGTTTTATGAATTCACAGAAGGAAAATAATCTTGCCAGTTTGACATGGTAAAATATTTTGTTGCACTCTTCTGTTAAAGTTGTCTTTTGGTTGAGGAGGGACTTTGAAGAATTCTTCCTACCATTGAATTTTCTTTATTAAACAAAACAAAATGTATCTTTGAGCTTTATATTTAGCTAAAATTTATGACCCAAATTCTATAAATTTTCTTATTAAAAATATTTCAATTGCAGGTATAAGGTGTCATTATATATGCAAATAATATGCACCATATTTAATTCACTTTTTGATATAACTTGAACTATATCTAAATGCTATGAACTGTAGACTGAGTGCATCTTGACAACCTCAATGTGTTGATGTTGGGATTCAATAGTTAAGAACAAGTCCCTGTTCCTCCAAGTCAAAGTTTTTACTAATTTTTTTATTCTATAAAGTGTAAATAAACTTGTGAATATTTAAGAAATAAAATATTATGTTTACAGTATTAAAAACTTTATATAATGTACAAATTGTGTAGCAGTAGTTCGGGGACAGAGTGGGCTCAAATCCAATGAAGCTGATGAAGCTTAAACAATTTCTTCCAGTTGTGAATGTAGATCATTAATATTAGAGCACAATTTCTATCTGCAGCTTTTCAGGCCATTTACAAAGGCATTGATTATGATTTCTGTATGATTAAAAGAAGTAAAATTAACTGATTCATTTTATCACCTTAAAATAAAGTGGTTAAAATGGAATTTAGTCCCCTTGTGCCATTTTGGAATCACCATCCTTGGAAGTGTTCAAAAACTCCGTGGATGTGGCACTTGGGAAGAGGGTACAGTGAACACAGTGGTGCTGGGGAAATGGTTGGACTCGATGGTCCAAGAGGTATTTTCCAACCTCAGAGACTCCATGATCTGGGTACCTGTGAATCCATGCATTTATTTCAATGTTCTTTCAGTTCCTCACCTCGAGTTCCTGCCCAGATTTTATCGAGCGCTCAGGAATGATGGCAGTGATTGATTTGGATTGATTTGGATTCAGGTTCCACCCACACATGTGCACATCAAAATGTCTGTG